GGGGAATGTCCCCCACCCGTGTGTTACGACAAAAAGATTTCAAATTCAGCTGCCCAGGTGGACTGCCCGGGGCTTACGTACGGACAGAAGTGATCGGGCGTTTGTTATTGCTGGGCCAGAAATTGGCTCGGTCATGCTTCTGCTGCTGATACAGTAGTTTTCAGGCAGTAGAAATGGCTCCGAAACGCAATAATATGATTCCGAATGCGCACTTCCACAAGGACTGGCAGCGACGAGTGCGCACCTGGTTCAATCAGCCGGCACGCAAGGAGCGTCGTCGTCGCAATCGTTTCAAGAAAGGCAAACTGATTGCACCGAGACCGGTTGCTGGGCGCCTGCGACCGATGGTACGCTGTCCGACGATCCGGTACAACAAGAAACTTCGCCTGGGCCGTGGCTTCACGTTGCAGGAGCTGAAAGCAGCCGGAATCAGCAAGCGTGAGGCGCCAACAATCGGCATTGCTGTGGACTATCGACGAACCAATCGTTCGCTCGAATCACTTCAGGTAATCTCACCCGGTCTTTTTCCTGGCGTTTTTCTTTTTTTTTGCATTAAATCAAAGGACTTTTGGGCGATTTTTTTGCCATCCTCCATGTTATGAATATGTTATATAAGCATTTGTGTTTGTACTGATGTCATAAATTCACTCCTACCCGCGCATGCGTATGGTTCGGTCTGTGTGTTTACAGCTAAGGGATGAAACACAGAGAGAGAGACTGCGTCATAAAATGTCTTCTCATGCACACTTGACATTCAACTTTTTCCAACATTCCTATTCAGGTTTTTTAATCCGATTTATCTTATTCACTTTTATCTTTTATTCCTTTCTTTTTAATTCTTACTTTTTGCATAAACATACATCATCTAAAATTAAAATTACAACTCAAGTGAAATCCTTCTATTCTTCTATTTCAAAAGTTAAAACTCTATATTTTCTGCTGTTTACAAAATGAGATGAAGGCAATCGAGAAGTAGCCTAAATGGGTAGCAAAAGCCAATAGCAACAGCTTTTCTACTGGCTCTCTCTTTCGAGGGTTGCTTACAAGCAAACTGTTGGCTGTCCTCATTATTCCACTTTGAAATTTCGATCAGCTGTTGTTTCATCGTTGCATTTCTTCTCATCATTCGTTTGATACTTGACTAGTAATGAGACCAAATACAGAGCGGATTTACCGTGTAATTGCCTCATTAAACTGACAAGAAAAAAACCCCGAAATCTTCGTTTTAGAAATAGACAAAGAGAAAAAAAAAATTATGGTTTTTTCCACTAAAATCATAGCAGTGTACGAATGTTCCTGCTGAAATAGAAGAATAGAAGGATTTCACTTGAATGTCATGTATCCATGAAGAAATTTTATGACACAGTCTGTGTTTCATCCCTTAGCTATACACACACGTACACACAGACCGAAGCATATGCATGCGGGTAGAAGTGGGAATCATCAGTACAACCTGAATTTCACTCTGGCGCAGGAGTCACGATGAAGTGTTGTGCATAATTTTTTATATTTTTCCAGCAAAATGTTCAACGCTTAAAGGAATATCGATCCAAACTAATTTTATTCCCAAAGAAGCTTAGTGCACCGAAGAAAGGCGACAGCACTGTAAGTATTCAGAATCGCTTTTTTTTTCATTTCAGAATTGGCTGTTGCGCGAATTCCCCCAAGTCTCCGTAAGCTTTTTTGCAACATTTCTTAGTTGCTGTTTTGACCATGCTGCTGCAACGTTTGGTGGTGGCTGGCCCGTACGTGGGTATCACGCATACCCGAGGACTGGACTTGAACTTCTTACTGCCTACTTGGACGGGGAACATTCCCTTAAGATTTCAGCTTTCTAGCTTTTCTGGTTCCCGAGTTAGCGACTTACCCGCAAAAAACTTTCACTGTCAGCTTGCTGGTAGCTTTGAACTTCTTTATTTTGTTGATGGAATTACAACTCAGCGTTTTTCCTGACAGATGCACTTGACAAAGTTTTTTAGCCGTTTCATGCGCCCTTTTTTTTGTCTGTTGAGCTTCGCTTTTCAAACACTGCCATTCCTAGCCTATTGTAAGGAGTAAAATACCGCAGGTGGAGGGGGACTGGTATGTTTTAGCTGCTTTAATGGCTGCTTAAATTAATGGCTTTTGATAACAAAAAGCTTCTGATTTCCCTGGAATTGTCCGGATTTTTGGCGTGAAACTTGTGGTGGTACTTGAAATATAGTCGCAGGATGCATTTTTTGCGGTCGGCCGATCCTGTATTATTTCTGGACGCGTCGCCCATTTTATCACTACTTTTCGTGCGACATTCCTTTGAGAGACGTTTTTTTTATATCAAACACGATCTGTTTTCTTTATTTTTT